CCCCTGTCCTTCATATTTTCTGTATATCCCCTACCCTCCCTGGCCATGCCTTGTTAGCCTTGCTATCGGCAGAGAGTGTATGCATTTTTTCCTTTTTACAGCTAACATTAACACTTAATTTATACACCTAGCACTCATTTGCCACCATTATGATCAAACAGTAAAGCTGTACTCTTTATGTAGAAGCTAAATCCTGTAGTCCAATTTAATTCATAAAGATTTCTGTTTTGTGATATAATATTATTGTTCAGTAATTTAGAATTAGGATTACTCACAGGTGAAGGACTGGACATTTCGCTTAAAATTGTTTCGTTTTGGTAAAAAAAAATCATTTTTAGCTGTGTCAATAAAATTGCACTAAGGTACTACTCTTGCACTCTTATCCAAGGGCCCAAACATACCTTCCAGGTGAAGCAACACTTCACCTGCACTTCCCAGAATCTAGTCTACTGCATTCGCTGCTCACAATGTGGTCTCCTCTACATTGGGGAAACGAAGCGTAGACTTGGCAACCGCTTCGCAGAACATCTACGTTCTGCTTGCAAAAAAGACCCTGAACTACCTGTTGCCTGCCACTTCAATGCACCGCCCTGCTCCCTGGCCAACATCTCTGTCTCTGGATTGCTGCAGTGTCTCAGCAAAGTCCAACGCAAACAGGAGGGACAACACCTCATTTTCCGCTTGGGGACCCTACAGCCCTCCGGACTCAATATTGAGTTCAATAATTTTAGGGCCTAAACTCTCCCATGTCCCAGCCCCCCACCCCACACACCAGGCCTTGTTACCACACAGCCTGCCACACCCTCTGTTGTTAGTCACTAACAGTCCCCATTAACAACTATTCACCCTCCCAGCCTGATCGTTAGCAACTCCTTTATCTGTCCAACTGTCTTTCTCTCTCTTTGGGCTCTATCCTATCGTTTACTCCCTACCCCACCCACATCCCTATTTTCTGCATATAAACTGACATTTTCCCAGCCACCATCAGTTCTGAGGAAGAGTCATCGGACCCGAAATGTTAACTCTGTTTTTTCCTTCACAGATGTTGCCAGACCTGCTGAGCTTTTCCAGCAACTTTGTTTTTATACCACTCTTACGTAGATAAGCTGTGATCTTACTGAACAGTGGGACAGTAAGGACAGGCTGAGTCATCTGCCTCCGCTCCAGTTTCTTTCTTTTGTTTGGAAGATTTCATCAGTTTTAAAAAAAAATTCACATTCCAAAACAATGCCTGGTGATTTGCTCAGGGAGTTGTAAATGAGTTGAACTGAGAACCTGAGCAGAAATAAACAATTTTGCAAAAGGAACAGCAGTTTGCTGTTGGAGCGCTGACTGTGACCAAAGTAGAAATGCTGTCCCTGGATAATTTGTCACTACAGCTGAAACAAAAGAGTTCATTACTGAAGAATTTAATATTGAAAAATGTCCCAGATTTAAACGTGTTCAGGTTTCACGTTGGAAACTGAGCTAATATAATGTATTTGGCATAAGGACATAAGAAATAGGAGCAGGAGTAGGTCAGAGATAGTAGGAACTGCAGATGCTGGAGAATCCGAGACAACAAGGT